GAAAGTTTTTTGAGTAAATCAAAACCATCCATCTTGTTTTTCTCTTACACAACCTGGAAAGTAAATATGTATGTGTGCATGTGTGTGCTAAACACACACATTTACTTACATTCATTTACACTGTTTATTCTAGCTTTTAAGTTTTAGTTTTTTACCTTTGAGAAATTACTGCAGTAATGGTTCAATATGTAAGTATAACGCAATTGTTTATACTCACAACAACTATGATTTATTAAGTAAGGAGGTCATGCCCAACTACATTTTTAAACATGGGTTTTTTAAAGATTATAAACCATAATGCATATCCTAGCTAATCAGGTTCAGTGGTGAGCTTAAGTTTATAGTATAGTGCTTTTGTTTTTCCGATTTAAAATTAATACTTTTATCTTAACCTTCAAAGTATCATGAACCCTGAGCCCACTCCAAATAAAATTTCCATCTTTGATACAGTTTTTAAAAAGTAGAAACTTTTATTACTGAGATGTCCACGAGAGACTGAAATAATTCTAGTTGCCTGTTTTTTTATGGTGGCATTCATCTATATTTTTTAAAAAGTTTAGTAACCTTAAGCTTTGAGAAAATTTAATTGATCAGAAGTTGATGTCAGTCACCCTAAAACTAGATTATTCCTAAAGCAAAATAAACAACAATAACAATAGTTTAAAAATCCCCTTGGAATCTAGTCATCACGGTGACATCCAGTTATAGATGGATGCAATTTCTAAGAAAACCAAAAAAACAAAAAATCAAATTAATCTTTTAGACCAATCTTCTGGAACATAACTTTTGCATAAATCATACTTTTAGAACATTTTAAATATTCAGTGTAAGACAAGATCCTCCCCTAATATGTGGTCTCCGTCTAGTCTTAAACACATGTCTTTCTACCTTCCTTCATCCCTTATTTTTTTTTCATCCACTTCTCAGGGCTTAACTTCTCACTCTGGCTCCTCTTCCCCTGCTTGCCCCAGCTGGCTCACACTAATTCCTCTCTACGTCCTTCCGTTCGCCTCTCTGCATTTCTTAACCACATCTTGCTCCACTCTCTTCCCCAAGGCATAGCTGTTTTCTCCTTAGCATTTGGCACAATGCCTGCTTTAGCTTACCGGAGGAGAAGCAGGGCAGGGTGTGGTGAAACTCTAGGGCTTTGAACGTGGTGGACTGATCAGTAGTTTCTACAGGTATCATAAGGAGCTAACAGAAAATATCTGCCTACCTCAGATGGCCATTGTAAGGGTTGGCAATTTGTGATGTGCGATACATGTTGTTAATTATTAGGTTCACAACAGGAATTAATTCATTCCCACTTTTCCCTTCATTCTCCTTGATTTGGTGATAACTTCACTCTACCGGCATCTTCATTTGTTATGCCACACAAGAAGAGGAGAGTCAGGCTGGCACAACATCCATGGCCAGTTCACTACGTTAGATCCGCTTCCATATCACTTTCTCTCCCACTTCTGTGACCTGATTTTACCTCGTTAGATATGTCTGCATCTGACTCACATTTACTTCTGCTCTCTACCCTGCTGCGCTATCCGGTCTCCTCGTCCTTTGTGACAAGCTCATATGCTGATCCCTCATTAGACAATGCAACCTCCTGCTTTCTTGTCCTCTCAGAGGTTTCAAACAACCATCTCCATTCCATGTTAGCCAGGTTAACAGCATTTCCTCCTCTAAACCTCATTATGAAAAGGCATTCCAGGTTCTCTTGCCTTGTCAAGCCAATGGTTTTCAAAGTATGGAACCCCAACCAGCAAAAACAGTTTTAGCATCACCCAAGAATTTGTTAGACATGCACACTCTTGGTCCCATCTCAGACCTACTGAGTCAGAAACTGTGGACCCAGCAATCTGTGGTTTAACTGCCCCCAGAGATTGTGATGCCGCTGAAGTTTGAGAACCACTGCCTCCACCTATCTGCTCTCTTCCCTGCTTTCTCCCTTCCTCCTGTTCACACTGAGTCTCCAGTTCTGGGAGGACACAACTTATGGTTGGAGGTCATCGTGTGCCATTTTGAAAGTCATTATTACTGATAATTTTAGAAGATCATGTATAAGAGATGATGATGATGTAGATCGATGAAGGTACAAATAATCCAGAAGACTCAATCCAGAGAGTTAAAATCTTCCTGGAAAAAGATGTTTTTCTAATACTATTAAAATAATGCTGGCAAAAGTGCTGATACACAATGCTGGTAAATAATAAAAAGACATAGAGATACTCAATAGTCTTCAAGTTCATCAGACTTGGAGTTTCCCAGCATTGGGAATTCCCAGCTGATTCCTTGGCTTGATGATGAGTATATGAGGTCCATGACGTTAATGTTTCTACTTTTGTGTATGTTAAAAAATGTCATGAGAATTTTTAAGTAAGCGACTTAACAATGACAGCATCATTCTATGTCCATGTTATATGAACCCAAATAAAATGTTTTTAGTTTTGCCACTACCAATCTTGGTCATAAATGATACTAATAATGAAAATTTGTATTATTGAATTGTTTTATTTCTACTAGATATGTGCATACATGTACTATATATGTATGTAGATAGATAGAGATAATCAATGTTAATGTTGAAAAAATGACCAAAAGCTAAGAAATTAGTGTGATCTATACATTGCTGCTGTGTAAATAGAAAAAAAAATATATAGAAAGACAATTTCACAAAATCCAGATATGTGTCACTAGACATTAAATTATTAACACATAAATTTCATTTATTGGAATCACTCTAAGAGGGGAGAATTCTAACTGCAGACTTTATACAAGAAGATGATCAGCAGAACTTTTTTTTTCATAATAGTATAAAACATTCAAAATCCCTTTGTGACCACCATGGGGAGATAATTAGACAAACATCAGCATATTCATCTATGAAAAATAGAAGCATTAAGATGATAATTTTGCAAATTATAATGCTATAATAGTAAAGAAAGACACAAATGTGATACATAGTAAGACTGCAACTGTGAAAAATGTGTACAGAAAAAGAAACTGTATGTGTTAGGGCAGTGATATGATTGGTGTCTTCTTTTTTCTCCTGTTTTTTTTTTTTTTTCAATAGAAATGTATGTTTAGAAATTATGACAGTGGAATTTGTAAGGTTGTTTCCTCCCCAAAGTGGTTTGGGTCTTGTGACTTAGCTAAGATGCTTTTAATTCATATGGAGCTAAATTTTTTGAGGGGTAAGAGTCCCAAGAGTTATGAGTAATATTGCTACTCTGTTATTGGCAAAGCCTCTGGCACTAAGCCGGCTGCCTTGGTGAAACCAGAGTTCACAGAGGCGAAAGTGGTTGTATCTTTCTTCCCAGTGTTGCTTCTGTGGTACTTCTGTGAAAACGTACAGCAAACATTACATTGCATCTTTGCCCCAAAGAAGGAGAACTTGGAAATAGCACTGAAACCCTTCCTCTGGCTGTCTTGTCCAAGACTTTTATTACACTTGGAACATCAAAAACTAAAGTGGTTTCTGAGAGATTCATGAAACTGAATGGCAGCTGCATCATTATTCCACCAACTGGGACTTTAAGCAGACCTACTTCCCACGGCGTCCATTTGAACCTGCTAAAGCATGTTAAGAGGCGTGGGGACCATACATTATGGGATGTTGATGCAGTAACCCGCCTACTGCAGTCCTTCCCATCCTAAAGACTCTCAGTGTAGCTGTATACTCTCCATGGTGTTAGCTTTAGAGTCTGCTCTTCTCTCATTAATGTAGTAATCATGGCTACATGATTACTGCTGCCATCCAGGGCACACAGAAAGGCCAAATGAAAAAAGGAAGAAAACACATACACTCTTCAAGTGTTTGCACTTTGTATTCAGATGATTTTTTTGCTATGTGTCCGTTATATTTTTTTCTGTTATAGACTATTCAGGTCAAATATTATCTGTCCTTGAACTGTTAGTTTGATCTATTATAAAGCCTGCTAGCGTGTAGGTTACTCGGTTGAACATACATTTCATTGAGCCAATTCTGATTGGGGGTAGGGGAACAGGCGGATGGTCCTTTGTCACCACATACCGTTGTGGATGAAACTAAAACCTCAGGAGGAGCCAAGCAAAAGGAAAGGATTATTTATCCAAGTTTAACCTTGGAGTTATTGTGCTGTTTCATTTCTACAAGTAAATGATCTTCCTTCCTGTTTTAAAGCAGGTAATTGCTTTGCTAGTTTCTGTGTTTCTGACTAAGTATCACTTAAAGTCTTTCATCTTGTTATTTACTCATTTTACTGGAACAGCTTTCAGTCCTCTTTAAAAATTCATTTGACTTTAATGTCTAGTTATCTAGGACTCCCCTGGGCCAGGATGAAATCACAGGGGGGGTGGGCCGGATGATTTGACAAATGGCCATTGTGTAGGAGCCTTTGATCCTCCCTATGGTGTTAATTAGCTGCCCCTTGTTTTGCTGAGCTTTAAGCCAGATCAGTCTGCCTGCCCCAAGGCCAAGTGATCACTGGTGAGCTCTAGGACAATTCAGTCACTTCCCAAACTCTTGGGCTGCTGCAGCCTCCACTGGGATTTGGGATTTGGGGCAGAGGTGAAGAGAGGACCGGATGGGTTTTTTCTGGGGCCGAGGAGCACTGTGCTTCTGGCATCTGTTGCATGGTATGAAGCCCTTTATTCCACGAAGTAGGAATCCCTAACCCTGGTTTTCGAATCCTTGAGGCCAGCTCAGTATTTTCAAGTTTTCAAAAATTAAGAAGAAAAATTAATTTTTATTCATGTTCATTAAACAATACAAAATATAATAGATTACAGTCACAAAGATGGAGAGAAAACAAGCAATTTGCTAAAGATCATTGGAAATTGTTGCCCTGGTGGCTAGGTGACACACCTCTGAAAATAAAGTAAATGACTTAAAAGCAAAAGAACAAGTGTAGACATTGGTAAAGACTGTTCAGAAACATCTTAACTCTGTTAGTAGGCGCTAAACCTCGCCGTCCCTGGGAGGCAGGGGCTGGTCTAACTCTGTGCTGTCCTTCCCTGCCTGGCAGATGGCGAGCTCTCCATATCAAACGAGGACGACTCCCTGGAAAACGGGCAGTCCCTGAGCGCCAGCCAGCTGTCCCTGCCTGCCCTGTCCGAAATGGAGCCAGTCCCTATGCCCAGAGATCCCTGCTCGTACGAGGTGCTCCAGCCTTCAGACATCATGGACGGCACAGGTAACACCCTGGTGGACTGCAGCACAGGTCCCCCGGTGGGTGGCATTGGGGATCTTTGGCCTGAATGGACTGGGTGCTGTTGAGAACTATCCTGAGCATAAGAATCTCCTGGAAATAGAGATGAAAGTGACCAACTAGTACATGCTGAGTATAAAACTGGAGAGGATTTTTACAGCTGTTGTTCTATAGGTTTAAAAAATATTTTTATAACTTTAGGATCTTTAAAGAAATATACACTGTTTTTGTAATATTGATGATTTCAAATGTCATTATTATTCTTTTTATTTTCTAACACTCATGTCTATTAAGATCAAGCTAAAGAATCCTGTACTTCTACATGGTACCTATCTAGTTCACCGGTTCATAAAGCCTTGGCATGCCCTTTACCCTAGTCCCAGTGTGCCAGTTAATGGTTGTATCAATTTAGCAATTTGCATCAATTTATTGTGTATAATCAATGTGTGCATTGGCCATTAAATTATTTACAATTTGCAGGTTAACTTGTATCTGCCAACAGGTGATTTACATGCCATAAAGCTGTCACTCCCATTTTGGTCCAAAGCCCTCAGAGTGGTCACTCATTCCCTCAGGAGGTTTGCAGAGGGGTCCTCCTTAGCCTGAAGGTGGGACCCTCCCAAGAGCCAATAAGGACTGGTCCTTGTTGTCAAGAGACAAGCCTGCGGGAAGCGACTTCCTGGCATATCTGGGGCATATCTGGAGCGGGCAGAAAGGCCATGCCCTCCCTCCACACCAGATGTAAAGTCTGCACTAGCAGAGCTCAGGTGGGAGGACGGCAGAGATGGTGTTTCACAAAGTCAGTTCCCAGGCTTCCCGTTGGGACCCGTGAGTCACTGCTCCATCAAGTGTGCCCAACACTGATAATAACAGTGTCCCTGGAGGCAGGGGGAGAATTTAGCACTCCTGAGGGTGATTACAGGGCTTCAATGCTACAGGGAACTCTGCTCCCCAGATCATAGAGGAAGAGGGCGGAGAGGAGTCATTTCTAGGCTTTCTTACTGGAGCAGCAATGGGAGGAGATGCAGCTGAGTAAATCCCCCCATCCCTCAAGCTGGGGAGTTTTCCCCAAATAAAGCAGTGAACTGTATTTTAGCCAACCTTCCTTGTGACATTGAATCAGATCGATCTGATCGGTACAGTGAGATCGGTCATTCCAGTGAAGCCAAAGGGTATCAGTCTGTCATCTGCCAGGAGGCCAGCACTGAAGGGAGGCCAGTGCTGCTGCCCGAGACAGCTCTTCACTGGAGCCAGTTGAGGTTCCCCCAGAGGACAAGCAAGAGTCGGGCCCAATGCAGAGCAAAGGGCAATAGGGTGAATCGGAACAAGAAAATGATAATCCTGGCGAGTAAGAGGAGAGAGGAAGGGGGAAGACAAACAGGTGTTGACTTGGAGCATCCTTCACCTTGTCAAGTTTATGGGAGCTGCAGGGGAAGGAGGGTGCCTGTCAAACTGCAGGGTACCCCTGGAGGCTGCTCCCTGGCTCACATGGCTCCTGAACCTGAGGAACAGCCACCCCAGGCCTGTGGGTGGGCTGCCTGGTGTCTGCCTTTAGGGTGTCATCATTACTTAGTGTCCCAGACCTAGGAGCAAGGACACAGGAGACCCAGCAGGCTTTAAAAGCAAGAACCCACTCTCTTTCTCCCTAGCAAAGGCAAACAGGCCTAAAGAAAGGTACTGACTTTTGGTGCTGGCGTGGGTCAGAGGGGACCCTTCACCCCTCATCCATTACACCTGCCACCTGTTGGCTATCACATTTTAGAGCACCCATAGAACTGGTATTGTAAATGCCGGGATTGAAGTGGCAAAGCTTTGGATAGTTTTGAGAAAATGCCTTCTTCCTTTTTCGCCCTCTTAGTCCTTCCTTAGTCCTCTCTCTCTTCTGCCTCTGCCTCCCCTCTGTGCCCCACGCCAACCACGGCACTTTGTTGGATTTCTGGTGTCCTCTCTTTAACTCTCCACATGTATGTGACAACCTGGAACAGTCGGTGCTCTGTTGTGTCGCTGACCCACGTCCCTGTCCTGCGTGCTCCTGCCAGCCCCACCAGCGCTGCGTTTGTGTAATGTCTCCTGTCTGTCATGTGGTTGTCCCCTCAGTGTCTGAAGAGAGTCCCTCTGCCAGTGAGTCTGGAGTCCTCCTGTCCCAAGATCCTTCAGCCAAACCAGTCCTGCTACTGCCCCCCAAAAAACCTGCTGCTTTCCCTGGAGACCATGAGGAGACCCCAGTGAAGCAGCTATCCCTTCTCAAGCAACCCCCTGCCCTGCCTCCCAAACCCACTGCCAGGATTGCCAACCACTTAACAGGTGAGTCAAGATATCTGCGGAGGCCTGCAGCCCTCCCTTCCCTTCAAGGGATAATCTCTTCTCTTGTTCTTTTTATCTGAACATCTCCTCAGTGAGGTTGCTCTGTGGGACATGTGGTGTTTCCATGTGTGTCTTGGTACACGCGGTCATGGCCTGGGTTTGTGTGTTTGTGTCAAGAAATATTCAATATACACCTGCCAGTCATGTGCCAAGAGCCTTCAGTCGTGTGTATCTGTAAATATGTACATTGACATTTATGTGACTAATTCTAGATTATTTGCCCATCTAGGTGAATTAGAGTCAATGTCAAAATATTTGCAAAGATAAAGAGTCATACCTTGTTGCCTTCATAATGAGTTTGTCAAAGCTCTAAATTCTTTGTCTTTAAATTATTGATATGAAGCCCAGCATATTTCTTCTATTAAAATTTATAGCTGTGCCATTCTCTTAAAAATGTAAAAAGTAAAGACAATAATCTATAAAATACTATGAGAAAGAGTTGTAAAAGAAGAGTAAGGTTAAGAATGTTGTCTTAAAAATGATTCTTGTATTTTCATTTTTCAAGTGTTACTTAATGAGTGTACACGTGGTTATCAAATTGGGCATCTAGTCGATTGCACTTTCCTGCATATGAGCACGTGAGTCAGATGCCACTGGGCTTTAAGGCTGTGGTGCGTCAGAGACTAAAGATTTCAGAGGGTTGTTTCAAGTGTTGATGGTAATCCTGCCTGATACTGATCAACTGCCTTTTTACAACGTCTTTGGTGTTCTTAGATTTTCTCTTGATCTCTGTGCACTTTTGTAAGCTAGAGTGGGGTAGAGGTTGGGAAGAATATTCACTTATTTTATAATACAACAACTGAGGTTCAAAAAAAAATAAGTGATTTTTCAAAGCCTGGCAGGAATTCTACTGGAGAGCCACAATTAGGCCCTGTGCTTCCCAACTCCAAGTTCAGTGAGTGTTGGTCCAGAATAGTGGGGTGTCTGTCACGTGATATGAGTTCGTTTAGAGTCCAACTTAAACATGGGATTGTGTCAAACTCCTCTATCCCTTATGGTTTAAAAGAGCAAATTTCCACCTAAAGGAACCACTCAACATGTTAATAACACTTTAGCTCAGTGCCCCCAAATTGAAGTGCATAGAAAACCACAGAGGAGAAAATGCTCTCAAAGGTCTCCCTCTGAGAGAACCCAGTGTTCATCTATCTTACCAATCTTATCTATCTAATAAAAATCAAGTCCTGCTGTACACGGTCTTTTATCATCTGCTTTGTGCTTAGAGTGATATTGAGTGAATATTGCACATGATTTTTGTTGGCTGCTTGGTGTATATCAGGATTTACTTGATTGACCTCTTAGGGGCTTTCCATCTTCTGTACTGTGAAAACACAGCAGCAGATATCCTCAACAGCACTGGGTTTTGTTTGAAAGCATCTTTGAGTCTTCTCTAATTTGTTTCTAGAATTAGAATATTATTTATATATACAGTGGACCCTTGAACAACACATTCGTGAGGAGTGTCAACTGCCCATGCAGTTGAAAACCTGCATTTAACTGTTGATTCCCTAAAGACTTAAGTTGTCCCTCAGAATCTGCAGGGGATTGGTTTGAGGACCCCTGAAGATACCAAAATCTGAGGTCCCCAAATAAAATGACATAGAACAGTGCACACAGTGAGCCTTCCACATCTGTGATTCCCAAATGTGAATCAAAAACAGTGTAGTTATTTTTTGAAAAGATATGCATATAAGTAGACTAATACAGTGCAAACTTATGTTGTTCAAGGGTCAAAGGCATATATAAAAATAGAGTGGCAATATGACTACCATCAAGAGTGACGCTTGTAGTTCAGTGTGTGCAGTCTAATAAAAGATGACTGGAGAAGGCTGAGCTTGAGCAGACCCTTAAAGCGTGAAGGGCATCTACAGAGAATGAGGGAAGAACATTCCAGGAATGAAGGCCCTGGGTGAAGACTCAGAGGGTGCCACATTCGGTCCGTGATGAGGTGGCTGAGCCAAGAGAGGTCCATCTTACCATGTATTGACAGAGGGTTCACTGGGTAAGGCATACGAGGATTTATATTGTGTTCCCATAGCAGTGGAAAGCCAGAAGTTTTTGAGCAGGAGAGTGATATGGTAAAAACGAGCCTTTAAATTTTTTCCTGGGTTACTGTATAGAGACTGAAGAGAAAAAAGAAGGTTGAAGGCCTAACAAAGAAGCCACCAAGGCCAGACCTATGCCTCGTCTGCCCAAATCACTCATTGGATGAAGCTGAACAGTTTGAGCCTGTGTTAAGAGGCTGCTCCAGTTGTTGGAATATGAGCTAACAAGCATCGGGCTGATGGCAGTAGGGAGAGAACACAACACAAGATAAGACGTTTTAAAAGAATTGACAAAATTTCTTAGCCAACAATTTAATTTATCTAGTTAAAGATAAATCTAGTCTATCAGCCTTTAATTTATCTAGTTATTGAATTAATGAGGACCCACTCCATTCGTTCATAGCTTCAGCTTTGTGCCCTGAACTTGAGTAGGTTGGTAGCCTTAGGATTCTTAATATTTAAGGGACTGGAGATATGTAAACTAGCCCAATCTCTCTGGCTTCCCTCATCCTTTCCCCAGAAGAGTGGACTTTATGTATTATCTGTAAACCTCACCTCTATATCAAATGGATAAAAATGCATGAAAGCCAGTCATCTTAACCATATTATACCTGGTAGCCTCGTAAATATGATGAAGACAAAACAGGTGCAGAAGCCTGTGGGCCATGATTCTGGTGCTATCCTTTTGGGTGTAAACTCAGACTTGCTGAATTTTTGTAAGTGAGCAATCAGTCATAATGAATCTGTATCACCATGAGGCACCTGTATTAACTCTGTTCTATTACTAATTACTCTGGAGACATCTGGGCCATGTCAGAAGGAATTAATAAACCAAGAATTCTAGAACTCTAGATTGAGATTTAAGAGTTTCAGCATGTTCTCGTTATATGTTGTTCTGTGGACATTTTTGAATGGAAACACGGGACAGTTTGAAAGACACCAAACATGACTAACAGAGAGTGAATGGTGGTTGGTGGTCTGGTAGGATGCTGGAGGAAGCGTGAGCCTAAACTGGGGCTACTTCTGCGTATACGATTAAGGGAAAAGATGCAGAAATATCACTGGTTTGGTATTTGCCTCCACTTAATTAACTTGGAGACTCTTTGTCTTATAAATTTTCTCTGTCCTTAAGCCAGGTAGTGAGAAGCCCTCCTGCTACTCTTCCAAACTATTTCTTTTTTCTCACACTCTCATCCTCATCCATCTCATCTTTTCCAACACCAGCCTGCCCAGTAACACATAATAAAGCTCAGGAGTTGTCGGTCATTAGATTCCCTTTCATTCTGGAAGTACAGTGCCCAGCAGAACTGGTTGCTTAATGAATATGATCTGAGATGAATGATTCTCAAAATGCATGCTTCTTGGAATAACAGCTGACCCTAGAGGAACAGGGTGATGGAGGCAAAAAGACAAAAACCCACTGTCTTCTTCTTTACTAAGTCTTTACCAATCACCTCACCTTCTGTCCTGTCTCCAGAAGTCAAGTATTAGATGATATATGAGTAATGCATGCCTTCTGCATAAGTTATTGGGTTGGCCATGAAGTCCATTTAGTTTTTTCCATAAAATAAAGGACACATTTTTCATTTTCACCTACAACTTTCTCTCTTTTTTGAATTTTTTTAATTGTTATTCAGTACAGTTGTCTCCATTACCAATAACTTCCATGATTTGGGATATTTGAGTATGTCAGCTGTCTCCCTCTATTGACTTCTGGGGGGTAGAGGCCAGGGGTGCTACATCTTCCAATGTATAAGACATTCCCACCGCAAAAAATTATTTGGCCAAAAGTCAGTAGTACCAAGAAACTTCACAAACCACTCTTGACATGTTTGATCAGTCACAGTACCTTCTCCACGCACCACACAAATCTTTTTTTGCATATCAGTTGTGTTTTTACCTTTCTTAAATAATAAAGCATAATACACCAAAAATGTTGTATATCCTCTTCCATCTTCAATATTAAAATGGCTGTATAACAATTCACCGATTTTGATGGGTTTTTTAAATGCATGCTGCTGTGACAGCTGTCACAGTACAAAGTAACAAAATTGTTTTCAATGAAGTTACATACAACCAAACACTACTAGGGGCATCATATAGAAAAAAGTAAATGAACTGGTTGGCCAACCTAATACCTATGGTTAGGTGCCCCATGAGTGCCATTTGAATAAAGGATAATCAACCTACATGACAGATGGACTTCACAGTCTCACATTCACACCTGGATAGTAATAATGGCAGCTGCCAGATTTTGAGAAGTTTACAGCATACCATTTAGTCCTGTGAGGTAGATCCTATGACCATTATTCTGTCCTTTCCCAGTGGAGAGAAGTGAAATTTAGAGAAGTTAAGTGACTTGATCATGGTTAATAGCTAGCAAGTGGCAGAAGTGGGCTAGATCCATGCCGCTGGACTCCAGAGCCCTCCCTTATAACCACTCGTTTATACCATGCCCACCGAAATACCTATCCTTAAAATTAAAAAAAAAAAAAAGTCATTAGCTTTCTTTGTTTTTGTTTTTGTTTTGCTTTGTGTTTTAATCTATTTAAGACAAAAAAATTATCCAGTCTTTCAAAAATAAAGATATGTTCTGAAGGCACTTGTTTATAAAGAGGGGGACCTGAGCACAGTTGGGTTGGGTTTCAAAGAACATGCCAGAAGGAGACAGTCTATGAGAATAGAGAAATGGGACCAATAGCCCTGGCCAGTGTGGCTCAGTTGGTAGGAGCATCATCCTGCAAACCAAAAGTTCACAAGTTTTATTCCCAGCCAGGGTGCGTGCCTGGGTTGTGGGTTTAGTCCTTGGTCAGAATGCTTGTGTAAGGCAACCGATCGATGTTTCTCTCTCACATTGATGTTCCTCTCCCTCTCCTTCTCTCTCCCTCCTCATCTCCC